AACGAAGTTACGGAAAATTAATTAACACACGGAGACGTAACAATATGTATTATTTTGAAAAGAAGTGGAGTGTGTGCTGTTCATTTATCGTTGAATTTATAGACAACAAGTCACAGACACCTACTGTAGAAGAATCTTAAGCCCAACAATAACACAGTGCATATTTATACTATGAAGAAGTATAAGTAAAAGCCTTTAATTGACAATTGGCAAACATAACATAACTTAGTTCCTGACAAAGTCAGGTGGAGGAAAATGACCTAGGTAACCTTGATAGGGTCGAAGATAATAATTTGTATGATGTTGTAAAGAAACAGGATCACAACAGTAATCACAAAACTACAAAACAAACGAATGAAGATTGTTCTAATAAAGAAAGGGCGAGAAATCATAAAGTTTAAGAAGTAAGGCTGGATCTGGTATCCAAAGATGAACAGAACGAACATCGAATTCCCCCAGTGGCACTGCGGTATGTCTACGGACTTTCAACGCTAGAAACCGAGTTTCAATACCCGTGGTGAGAAGAGGACAGATAGCTCATTGTGTAGCTTTGTGCTTAACTTCAAAACGAACAAACAAACATCGAAATAAATATATGAAAGAAACATATATATGTGTGACCTTGCAAGGAAAAATAAGTTAATACCTCACACTATTAAGAAAGTACGTAATGACACGGCAACAGGGACAACTGATTTTATATTAGGTGTCAAAATGTCAAATATTGTACAATTAATGGGCGATGTTAATATTATTGAAAACCCAAAACAACAGTATATGGAAATTGAGCTAATTTCAGCCTAATGTGTGCATTTTTCTGGTGTTTTCTTATTTTTGCTTATTCCTGTGTTTGTAAACTATTTCAAAATTACCGTTATTTAAAATGTTGATTTTCTACTTTTTTGAATATAAACAATAACGAATATATATATCCACGTAGGTATACTGAAAATGAGTTGTTGCTTCCAGTGACTGGTCGCTCATGATTGGAGTTTTTGTCGCATCGGGGAGGAACTGTGAGAAGATCATACTCCTAGAATTAGAGCTTAGGTCAAAATTGTTTGAGATAATTTAAGCGTTCGCCCAGTATAATATTGATAATTGTATATACTTTATCGATCAGACAGCTTTAATTCTTAATATATGAAATATCAAGAAATTACGATAAGGTGTTGTCAGTGGCATCATGAAACTCGAAAAAGTGAAACTTAAGTGATATCTGTATGGTTGTAATTGTATGAGGTTTTCTTTTCTTATGTAAACGTTTATGTATATGTAATATAGAAAGTATTAGTATTAATGCAGTTTACTATTTGATAGCGATAATTGATATCAATTATAGATTTTCTTTTACGTTTATAGAAATATTAATGAAAAAAATTAAGCCACGAGGCATGAAAATTCTCTAACGTAGTTGGCAATTCAATGTTTTGTTTTCAAGGTTTTAAGACGTTAAATTATTTCGAGAAACTAGGCTTATTTCATGACAATCACGGGTAGTATTTGTTGATCTTCATTCACTTAATCATCAATAAAGGAAAACACTGTGTTCACATTACTAAAAAACTTGGCATCTTGCACAATCTCTCACAAATTCCTTTTGAAATTTTAATTTTACAGAACCTGAGCGTTTATTGCATTTTGTAAAGTACTTAGTTAGATTTTAGACAGTCTTGAACTAATTATTTTATTAAAAGTTACAGCACTTACAGTAAGGAAGATTTTCTATTTGAACAGGTATGATGTTTCAATCACTGGTGCAATCATTCTTAGCCTAAATACACAAGTTTTAATGGTAAAATTATAAAAAAATAATCTACCTTATTGTAAAAGCTGTAACTTGCAATAAAACAATACATAATCAGTAAGTAAGCTGAAAACAAAATTATTAAAGTACTTAACTAAGTTGAAACATTTTATTTGAATGAAATATGCTGTTTGACAGTACTTCATATTTGCATCCGATAGTTGATATGTAGCCATTGCTAGCTTCATCAAGCCCATTAACTACTGTGTAATGTTTCCAGACTTTTCCTTTTGGTTTACCTAACTGTCAACTTTCATTTGGTTAGGGCTATTGTTTGTATCAAATTTTAATGGAAAGAAGTAGGTCTAGTATATATCAACCATTATAATAGATAACTGCCTATAGGGTAGCTAACTTGTGAAGTTCCCATAATTATATTAATTTTCCTCCTTACAAACAGTTTCAGATTTTAAATTTGTATTTATAATTATATTTTATAGCTATAATGCATTTGGTATGAATGATCATAATATAATTACATTTGGTGTTTTGTTGCATGTTATCAAGAATAATTAATGCAGTTTTAGTTCCAAGTTTTGAGAAAGCCAATTTTGAGATCTAGTAGCAGCAGTTAGCTTTAGATGATTGGCCAGCTTTGTTAAAGGGAAATGCTAAAGAAATGAGGGAAACTTTCCAGTGCTAAATTTGTTTTTAATTGAAGACAGGCATGTTCTGTTTAGGAAAATAAAGACTACTATGATGAATAAACATAGGTAGTTTAATAGAGACATAAAAAATAAAATTACAGATTAAACTATAGGTTTGAAATTGAGAGGATTGTAGAACAGTTAGGAAATTAGGATATCAAAAATAACTTAAAAGGAGCAGTTGGCACATAATGTTAGAATTAACAAAGAGTTTCTTTAGAAGTTTTACAAATAATCATAATGTGAGAATGAAAAATCATACTTCTGAAGGATGGGGTGAAGTTTTTGTTGACTTTATGATAGTTGTACTTTTAATAGATGTTTTTTCATTGGTTTTCATTAGGGAGGATTTGTGTCGGAAACCTGACCCTGAAAACATGTTTGGAGGAAATGTTAAGAATGTGTAACAGAGATGTAATTTGTTCTTATCAACAGCTTGAGTTTAAACATAGATAAGGATCCTGGACCTAATAATATTCCTCAATTATGTTGATGATATTAATTGGGACATATTTATTAAATTTTTTAAGTTTGTTGATGATATAAAAATTTAGATCTGGCTGGCTTAACAAGGATTCTGTGGTTTTTATTGAGAAATTTAGCTCAGTTGGTTAGTAGAACAAACTGTATTGGGTGGTGTTTAATTACGACAAGTGTAAGGTTAAGCATGTGAATTAACATAAGTTACAGATAGAATTTAAATGGAAATCCTCTTGGTTACTTGGATGAAGAAAGGGTTGTTGGGTATTAGTTAATACAATTCTTAAACCTTTGAGACAGTGCTCTGTTGGAAGTGGTAAAGTCAACAGAATTTTGAGTTGTGTATTTTACATATAAGGATATCAAATATAAGTTTCAAAAATTCATTGTGACTAGTTAAGCCTCATTTGGAGTATTGGGTGCTGTTTTGATCTTCTTATTTTGGAAAGGACATTGAGTTGTTGAAGAGTGTTCAGAAGAGAGCTACTAGGATGATTCCAAGGATGCATGGGTTGTCATTTGAAGATGGGTTTAAATCCCTAACTTGTTTTTCCTTGAACTGTTGAAGGGTGATGTAATTGAAGTACTCAAAATTGAATAATGAGCAAGTTAATTTAAGAAAATAGTAATCAATAATATATATTATGCTCAAATGACTAAATAATGATAAGAAATCCTTACCCTAATTCTTATTTTTGTGACATAAATGAAATTTAGAAGAAAATATGACACTTCATGAGCTTTATCCAGTTCATATTAACAGTTGTTGTCAAGCTGTTTGCTAATATAAATAGCATCTGAACCACTACTGTGCCTGACTTATCCAAGCTAGCCTGAAGAGCCCTGTTATTGGGTGAAAAGCTTTATCAGCACTGGATGTAACAGATACAGTGTTGTTGACAAATTATTATACATTCTTCTTTACTTTTATTTGAAAGTTCTTAATAATTATCAACATAATTCTCCTTCTGACTAAAGGAACAGTTTAATTCAAGAAAAAAATAAATATATGGTGTTAAGGTAAATAACAATCTTTACTTTAATTCTTGTGTTGTAACATAAATAAAATTTGGAATAAATTACATTTCTTGAACTTAATCCAGTTTACACTGTAACTGTTATTGTCAAGGAGATTGCTGGTATAAATAGTATTTCAAGCACTGCTGTGTCTGTTGTATCTCAGATGACCTGAATAGCTCTGGTTTTGAGGGAAAGGCCTCATCAGCATAGTATAGTTGATATGTTATACACTTCAATACTTTCACTTGAAAGTTGTTATTATTGATAACATAACCTAAGTACAGTAAGGAACCATTTGATTTTTCAAGGCTGCCCTTGTATATCCATCCTAGGGAAAAGTAAAAATGTAAATCCACCTTTTACTTTTCAGGAAATCAACAGTTCCCCTCTATAACATATGATAAAGTGCTGGCATTCACTACTACTAATGGTAAGTCCTTCCATAAGTCATCCCCCATTTTAGAAAAAAAAAGCTGTCTTCATTGGAGCTTAGTTTTTTTTTTTTTTCCAATCTTAAATATATGTCCTGTCATCCTATTATCTTTAGAATATAACAAAAGGAATTGGAGGTATTAATCCTATCAAGCTCCTATATAATCTTATAAATTTAAGTAAGATCACCTCTTACCCTTCTTTTCTGTCAGTAAAATGACCTCTTATTCTTCTTTTCTGTCAGTAAAATAACCTCTTATTCTTCTTTTTAAAGAGAAAATGTGATAAAAGATCTTAAAGTATTCCTTGTAAGATAATCTTACTATCTCTGGATAGTAAACTCTCCTCTGAATCCTTTCTAGTAGATCAGTATCATTTCATTCATAAGGAGACCAAAACTGTACACAATATTCTGAGTGAGGCCTATGTAGTGATTTGTATGTGGAGATAATTACATCTTTTCACATCTAATCAATATGTTTAGAAATACCACCCCATTGGAAACCTGCCTTATCTGGAGATATGCCTCACCTTTCCAAAACTTCTTATTCCTTCTGCCATCAAAATTCAACACAAAAAATATATATTTGTTTTATCAATTCCCTAAATAATAGTGCCAATTCTAATAGAACATAGAATTATGTATAATAAATTCTGGTTTAAGTTTCTAAAGCTTATAGTTACTACCTATAATAATCAGTTCACCAATACTAACATTATTAATTGTAAAGTCAAAGGATTTTCAACAGGTAACCAGTTGAAGCCCCTCAAAATTGATAAAACCTAAATAATATCACTTGTAATCTCACATATATGCTCCAGTGAAAATATATTGAACTATTGAAACCCCTTCTATGACTTCAATAATTTAAGTTTGGCATTATGCTGAGAGTGCCCTCATCTTTTTGATGTTATTTTATTATTTGGGATTAAGAAAGCATTTGAAAAACTGTCTGATAAAAAGTGAATGCTTATGGGATTAATGGAAAAGCTAAGTGGATAAAAAAATTGCTTAGTTGTAAAAAAGAAATGATAATTCATGGGTATTTTTCTATCAGGAAGATTGTGACTAGTAAATTCATTTGGAGTTCTATTTTAGGACATTTATCTTATGTTAATAAATTGGATAACATCTTGGTCAGTAATATTTCTCAGTTTGCTGATGATGCTAAAATGCAGCGAGGAGCTGATTATGTTGAATGTTTTTCATATTTAAAATGACCTTGACATCATAGTGAATTGGCAGAAATGTAATATTGAGAAATGTAGAATCATACATTTGGGGGTTTGGAAATTTGGAAAAAAATATACTTTTATGTGAAAGGAGTATCTTAGAAAAAGAGAAGGGTTAAATTGGAGTGATTATTTATAAAACCATAAATCCTTCTACTGAGTGCTTAGATGTAGTGAAAAGAGCATATAAAGTTATTTTTGTTACTCCATAGGATTTTTGAATTTAAGAACATGAAGGTTATTGTAGTGTATTGTTGCTTAATAATGTGGTAAGGTTTCACTGGAGAAATAGGTCTGGTTTTGACCATCTTACTATACGTGAGTTATACAAATTTATAGAAAGAGATTAGTAGTAACTTGTTTAAGTAATAAATACTGTAAGAAGAGGCTTACATTTCTAGACTTGTTTTCTCTGGGAACATGTAAAAAATAAGGGACTTGATTCAGGTGTTCAAGATTGTTAGTGGTTTGGATAGTTTTTTACAACATGTGTGAATGGTGCTTGAAAAGGTTGGTAATGTATTAATTTGAATATTAGGATTGATAGATTCTAGTCATTGATTTTTAAGCGTAATGTTTTCTTTGAAATTTTTTTTATCTTCAAGATTTATAAGTTTCTGGAATGATATAGCTTGGATTATTTTACAATTTTGTTTTATAATTACTTGCAGAAAAATGTGAAACTATATGTAAATTGAATGACTTTACTGGGCCAGTGTCTTTCTTTCACCATTCATTAACACAATTAATTTTCAACTCAAAAATAACATAGTTGTGTTACAATACTTATCCAGTTGAATCACTTCATCAGATACTGGCCCGGCATGGCCAGGTGGTTAGGGAGCTCGACTCGCAATCTGCGGGTCGTGGGATCGAATCCCCGTCACACCGAACATGCT